TAGTTAAAATAATTAAACACACCATAAATATGCTTAATATAAACTGAATGTAAACAGAGTAAACTTTTAGAATGATTTTTGGCCATCATAAATATGAAGTGATATTTTATGTAAAATGTAACTAAAATACATAATATCAAAAGCGTATGTAGTTAAAATAATTAAACACACCATAAATATGCTTAATATAAACTGAAAGTAAACTAATCGAATAAACTTTACTAGCTCCAAAAGCAGGCTGCATGCATGTCCTTCTGTTGCACATGTGCATAATCTGCTCATTGCCCTGTATTCTTTTGAGTGAGCGGGAACGTTAAAGTTTTATAAGTTCAGTCGTTTTTCATTTGTTGTTTCACTGTGTAGCAATGTGTCATTTTAGAAGTACGTCAATTTAAACGTGTTATATGTTTTACAAAGACATAGTTTTTGGTAAATGCAAGTGTATGTGCAATGCTTTGTTAGCTTCAGCCGTTAGCACGAGGTTTTGATGTGATTCACTAGTAAATAAGCAGCCGTGTGTGTTTGACTATGGGTGAAGGAGCTTGTGAATGGATTTGTGTGAAGTCAGTTTTTGCTAGTTTTGCTGTGGCTGTTTGTAGTTAGCGCCGCTTAGTTAGCCGCTCAACCGCAGCAGTATCGTGCAGATGGAGGGGGCAGAGCGGACTTCACACTTGTTGATACCTCTCTGGAACTCCGGCTTGCTGTAAAAAAAAACATCACAGGTACGGCAGTACGCCGTCTGTGGAAAAAGACAGACAGACTTCTATTAACGGACACACTGTGACCCACACTGTACATCTACTGCCAGACTGACAACTTGTTGGTTTGGGGTGAGACAGCTGAGAATGAGACAGCTGAAACCCGTGTCTTGCACACGTCTGTGCTTGGTGGTTCTTGAAGCACTGACTCCAGCTGCAGTCCACTCTTTGTGAATCTCCCCCACATTTTTGAATGGGTTTTGTTTCACAATCTTCTCCAGGGTGGGGTTATCCCTATTGCTTGTGCATTTTTTTTCTACCACATCTTTTCCTTCCCTTCGCCTCTCTAGTAATGTGCTTGGACACAGAGCTCTGTGAACAGCCAGCCTCTTTAGCAAATGACCTTTTTGTGTCTTGCCCTCCTTGTGCTATAAGTGTTTTTCGTCTTTTGGACAGCTGTCAAGTCAGCAGTCTTCCCCATGATTGTGTAGCCTACAGAACTAGACTGAGAGACCATTTAAAGGCCTTTGCAGGTGTTTTGAGTTAATTAGCTGATTAGAGTGTGACACCAGGTGTCTTCAATATTGAACCTTTCCACAATATTCTAATTTTCTGAGATTCTGATTTTGGGATTTTCATTAGTTGTCAGATATAATCATCAAAATTAAAAAGAATGAACACTTGAAATATATCAGTCTGAGTGGAATGAATGTATACATTATACAAGTTTCACTTTTTGAATGGAATTACTGAAATAAATCAACTTTTTGATGATATTCTAATTATATGACCAGCACCTGTATTTCCTTTGGTTGTGCCATGCTTTTTGGCCTGATCTACACACTCAACCTGAAGTATCTTCCAGAAGGTTTTGATGAACTTGGATGGCAACAAATTGTCCCCAAAGGTGCAAATATTAAAGATTAAGATGCGTCAGTGAGCTCACAAGAACAGTGCTGGATAGTTGAGCTTGGCTTGCTCATTGTTGTTGCTGTGCTTGGGGAATTTTTTGTTTTTATGTAACTGTTGATGTTGGAATTGTTCAAACTGATATTGGATACTCATATTTTAAACGCTTTGAGTATTGTATTGAAAAAAGGCTCTTTGAATGGCAAACAATTTTTTAAAAGATTATTTTAAAATTAATTTTAAGTTACTGAATACAGTAGAAATACTTATTCTGGTGGAAAACCTTTAATTTTTAATTTCTTTAGCCTTTATACTACCGTCAGGTTTACTGGAAAACCTTGTGCACTTTGCCATTAGACGATTTTTTTGAAATCTGTCAATAAAATTTTCCATTTATAGTTCTTGAATGTGTTGCTTTGTGATTTATTACAGGAAATATAATAACTAATTTGAAATGCATTATGTACATATAATACATATATGAACATAATGTTTATGTAGAAGTTTCCCTAAACTTTATATTTAGTACTTGAATAAACACGTAAGATTTATGTAGAAATTCCCTTAAACCTCATATGTAGTAATTGAATAAAGACATAATGCTTATTTATAGGTTTATATTAATTTAATCAAATCTGTCATTTATTCAAACTGACTTAACATGATAGAAAAACATTGCATTACATGTCACCTTTTACATTGAACTTACGTAATAATATTAGATGAAAAATGTACATGTAATTAAAATACTTAAAGTCAATGTTTTAGGGATAATTAGTTTTTTGAGTGTACACATTTTGAATTAAAAAAGATTAATAAAACATCCACACTTTAAGAGAAAGAAAATATCACAACAACCTCAGAGAATAACAAACAGTCACTGTGATCTGGCATCTAGTGATCATTCAGTGATTCAGAAAAAGGAGACAGAAAAACTTGTTATTGGCCACATCCTCAGTAATCTTGTGGTACTGTGCAACTAAATACAGTGTGGCCACTTTTCCCAGAAAGCCTTTCAATAAACCCAAAGAAGATATATATAGTGCAAACTTATCCAAAAGTATTACATCACCAAGTGAGTGAATGAATAAAACATCTGACACCAGTGAGCAGAGTGGGTTTCAACACTTAGAACAGATGAAATTAAACTTGTTATTATCCGGCTTTTTGAACCACTGATGTTGTCCTCCTCTGTCCATGGCTCCAGACATGCCACAGTCATCAGTCTTTTCCCCCTGTGCCCAGTTTGTATAGCTGACAACATCATTGCTGACCCAGAACCAGAAATCCAGAGTGCAGGTGTAGCGCAGTCCCAGCCAGACGAAATCAGTTGAGGCGTTCTTGGCTCTCTCTTGGACCCATCTCTGCTGGTGACGGTTAGTGATGGAGACCAGGTCACTGTAGTTCTCTCTGCAGTAATATGAGGCCTCCTCCCAGGTCTTACTTTCTTTGATCAGGATCACTTTATCTGTCATGGAAGAAACTGAGACAAACACAGGATCATACCAGCAGCTTTGTTCAGTTAGTTGTTGGGAACACTGGGATCCAATATGGATCTTCAATACTGAAATAAAATGTTTCAGGTTTAAGTGACTGCTTGTGTGTTTGGGGCTAATGACAAATATCTTTAAATATGTTAAGAACTTCTTAAGTAAGTGACATTTTATTTTAAAGGAAGCCATGTCATGCTCAATAATAAATAAAATGATCAATTAACCATACTTTTAAAAGAAAGTAAAAAAAATAAACAGATGTAGCTTGTGTACATCATCCTGGACACAGTCCAGATGAAAAAGACTGTGTTTCAACAAAATTAAAATAAAGTATAAATACTGTAGATTCAGACGGATTTTCCAACTGATTCCAGTTCAGCTCCTATAAGAGAAAACAGTTGAGACAGACGTTTGCAAAACTCACCGTCATAGCAGAAGAAGGGTTTTGTTTCAATGCAGTCATCAGAGCTCCATTTTCCAGATCCATTTAACTCAGTCATGGCACATTTATTATCTGGCTGATTCAGATCCCAGTTTCTGAAAGAGAAACTGCTCCCATCTGACCACGTCCAGGAGTCTCTGAACAGGCCGATCCACACCCACATATCTTTGTTTACAGACTGGATGTCTACAGCGAGTTTTTGTGACATGTCTTGAAACTGCTTTAGTCCACTGACCAGGTCTGTGTAACGCTCCCTACAGTATTCTTGAGCCGCTGGCCACTTCTTCATTTCTTTAATCAGATGGTATTTGTCTGTTGCATTATTTTCTGTGGAGTAAACAGGCAAACTTGCATGACCTTATAGTGTACATGTACGTCTTTTGAGCAAATACATATTTGCCATGCTAGTAGCGTCATGGCTCCGTGGATGGTAATGTTGGTTGAGA